ATGATTCAAAGAATAACATAAAAATCAAACATTCTAGATTAAAAATTGAGACCCTATATACTCCCCATGTCCTAAAACTAAATTCTCAGTTTGACTTTCTTGGTCAAACTCTTTAAACTTTGAATGTATATTACGGAGAAAATAAATTGAATTTTTATATAAATTTGATCTCAATAGATTCATTTTGAAACATAGATTTGAAATATTTTACTTTTATACTCCCTTCGTCCTAAAATTAACTTCCCGTTTGACTTTTCACGGTCTCCAATGCGGCACTTTGACCATTAATATCTTCATTTTTATATAAATATATATTATCAAAATAATATATTTCAAAACTATGTTTCAAAATGAATCTATTGATACAAAATTTATTTGAAAATTCAATATATTTTTTCCGTAATATAAAGTCAAAGTTTAAAAACTTTGACTGCAAAAGTCAAAATGAGAAATTAATTTTAGGACGGAGAGAGTAATATATATTTTTATATAAATAAAAATATTAATGGTCAAAGTGTTTCATTGAGACCGTAAGAAATCAAATGAAAAGTTAATTTTAAGACGGAGATCGGTGCAATTCTTCCCTTGGTTTCTCAGATCCGCTCTTCTCTATCATCCGTCCCACAAAAAACTTCTCATTTCTACTCCCTCCGTCCCTAAATAGATTACAATCTTTTTTTCTCTCTCCTCTCGATAACTTTTGTTTGTTTACGTGATTTCATCAAGTATTTGATAAAATAAAATATTATTGTCACCTCTTGTTTTGTAGAACTTTTGACGTAGTTTTTTAATATATAATTTTTATAGCTTATTGATATACCAATTTGTAAATAAAATGATTTCAAAAAGTAGGAAATTTTACTCTGTAACCCGCAATTTGTAATCAAATTGGGGACGAAGGGAGTATTAAAAAGTCACTTTTACCCCTTACTTTTTCATACCCTACCTATCACATCATACCTTTTTACTAATAATCTATCCATCAAATCATACTTTTATCCATCACATCAAAGAACATTTTTGGAAATTCAATACTAAAATATACTCCCCTTAAATCCCTCCTAGAAAGCAAAAGTCCCATGTTTCATGGGACGGAGGGAGTATAATATAGTCATATCACATCTTGTTTTGTAGAACTTATCTATTCTTAAATATATAAATTTTATTTTTAGATTTTACATTATAATTGAATAAATTATATAGAAAACAAAGTTGGTCAAACTTCGTAATGCGTAATGAGAAAAGACGGAGTAACCAATTACTTGTTAAATTTAGCTTATTTTAATCTATGAAAATAAATAGTGTTTTGATGCTCTTCTCTTAATTATGAGTGTTTTGTTGCTTTACTTTTGTGAGTGTTTGTATTTTTGGGAGGCCTGACTATTGATAAAGATTTTCAGACCTACGGTAAGTGCGGAAACACAAATCGCTATTCACATGCAAGATTATCACATGTTTGGTTCGTGGAATTCCAAAGAAAAAAAAGGAATAGAGTTTTTCCCATTTTTATCACAAAAACATGAGAAAAATTGTTTCCCATTTTGTTCTATCCTCTCTTTTTTACTTTTATTTTTATTTTCTTTTCTTTTCTAAAATATAAATTTTAAAAAATATAAATTACAAATAGATCTTTAAAAAATGGTACGTATTTTTTAAAATATAAATTTTAAAAAACTACAAATAGATCTTTAAAAATACACTCTAGAAAATTATTAAAATATTATTGCTACTTATGTTTAAAATGCGAAATATATTGTAAATTATCAAATTTTCAAAATTCTAAATTTTAAAATAAAAATATCATACGAAGCACGGGGTTAGAATAAAATTAAATATACTTTCCTTACAAGAAAAAATACAAAATTGTATAACGAAAATAAATTTTAATCTTTAACGGTGGGGTTCTAGTGACACCGGACTACGGTGACACTAGCGGTGTCACTGCCATTTTGGGGCACTACCGGTGCTCCATTCGTAAAATTGACGATTATTACCCCCCCCATTTAAAGTATAAGAATGGGGATGATGAACGGTTGCTACCCCTCCGAATTAAAGTATGAGTAGGAGTATGAGAATGAGGATGATGAATGTATGACTGAGTATGTGTTTCTCATTGTGTGGGATTGTCCGTGTGTCTCCCCCCCTCCATGGGCTAGAATGAAGGAGGTTTATATATTTGTTACACATTGACGTATGTGCATGTTATATATGGATGTTTCATGCACATGTCATGTATGCATAACATGCGAACCAGTGTACAGAAATACATATGTGTTAAGGAGCATTTGTTAGTACACGCATTATAGTACATGCATTAAGGATACCATACTGCATGTGTAATCCTAACTCTTAAATCCTTTGGTGGTCAGTAGCCGAGCAGAGGGACGATTGACGTCACGTACGAGACCGTCCAGGTACTTCTTAGGCAGGATACCCTATGTCTAGGCTCTGGGTACTACTTGGGCAGGATACCCTTTGTCTAGGGTATCCAGCTATCATGAGTCCCCCACTTCCCAAGCCGAGCATTGCTACGCTTGGTGGAGGTAGTCATTTACCGGAACACTCAGCTACGAGGACAAGGAGGTGTGACCAAATATGCATTCGACACACAGTGAGATCTTCCAAAATAAAATTGTAAAATTTGCTGGCCAAGAGTGTAGAAGTCCCCCACTTCTCGAGTTGAAGATCGACATGGACGAGGCTTGAGAAGTGAGCTGTCGTGGATGTGAGTCGAGCTGACGCACCAATAGAATAAGACTATGGAATAACAACATACGAGTGTATAAAGAAATCATCATGCTCTGTTCGCTCATCGTATTCAAGGATCTGCCCTCAACCTCATTGATGTTTGATCTACCCCATGAGGAATGACTCATTAAAAACTTGTCGAGGGAAAAATCCATGAGAATGAAACAAAAAATCTTGGTTCAAGAAAAGAGTATATCTTGTCCCATGATGTGAATCAATAAAAGCATCTTTAGGGTGTTTAGTCACATCATTGTTCGGCTATGATGATGCGCCTTCAGTTATCTTATTTTGTTGATACTTGAATCACATATTCAACTTGCTTACCTGAAAAATAAGATAAAAAAAGAACTAGTGATATAATAGTGGGCTCGGTTTGGCCGACCACCCTAATGCATCAGAGAATGGAGAGCTTTTGGTGCCTTGCTAGGTTGTCAGGGCGGACCTCGAGAGATGATTTGGGTGTCTCAGGGGACGAGGACTTTTGGGGGTGCCTCGGGAGAGGACTTAAGTGCATCGAGGGAAGAGGGCTCTTAGAGCAATGGCAATGGCGAGGAATGCCATCAGCCACGCCTGCCACATCACCAAATCGTGGAATGTCATTAGCATTCCTCAATGATTGCCACTTGCGAGGCACCCATCTCCCATTTCTTTCTTTTTTCAATATTTTTTTAAGAAAGAAATAGGCTTTTGTATTTTTTAAAAATAAAATAAACTCCATTTGTCCTGTTAGAGATTACTCTGTACAATTTTAGCACTGCTCTCGATCATTTTTGTTTACCCATATCCTTTCATTGGTTATTTAATAAAATAAAATATTTTTATCGCATCATGTTTAGTAAAACTTTTGAAATAGTTTTTTTTAAGATACATACATTCTATTTTTTTTATTCTTATACCAATTTTAAAATAAAATGATTTTAAAAAATATGATGTTTTATTTCATAATTTTAAAATTGTAATCTAATTTGAATAGAAGAAGTAAGTATTTTTATTAGAAAAATCATAAAAACTGATAAAATCAATTACTTGCCATTGCAAGACATGTCACTCCACTCCCTTGCCACACGCTGACTGGATTATTTTTTATTGGTTGAAATGTGACACGTCAAGATGTGGCATTCCATTGTTATACTTTCNAACTCCAACCATTTACACTAAACTCAAACCCAAAATGTACGGAGTAGTAAATATCAAATGAAATAGTAATTCATCTGGAACCAATTACACCAAACTCAAAAGAATATTTTCACTGTATATTCTTTTTTAAAAATGCTCTTTATAGTTTGATTTGATTTTTTTAAAAAAAATACTTTGAATAGTAAAAACAATAGGATTAGGCCACCAAAAACAAAGTACAAACAAATGAGTAAATACTGTAAGCTACTAAAAGAAGAGAAAAAGAAAAGGTACAGTAGAAATGCATATATGCATTTGAGGAAGAGAGATGGGGGAGAAAAAACAATTTTGCGTTTCAGTTTTAAAGAAGGGTTGGAGAAAGAGTGAAAGAGTGCTGCAAACTCTTGTGTAAGCTCTGACTTTGATTTTGTGAATTTTGTGAACTGTTTGTTTGTAACTCTAGCATTACTCTTTTCCAAGTATATATTCATTCTGTGAGGCCAGCCGAGAGCGTGACGTGTCAAATGACTTCTTCCGACGAAAATACTTAGTTTTGTTATCCCTTTAATTAGTAACTGTCACAAGCATTATATGATGTTATGCTCGCTTTTCTTGATGTTTCTAAGAATTTTCCTCTGTCGCAAGCATTTTATGGTGTAATGATGATGGTGAGGCAGACGTCACCCTCATTTTATCATTCTCTTTGATGCAACCATGGTGAACATTGGTGAAAAGAGCAACTCGATGTGTTCTAAGCTCTCAACGAAAGCACCACTGATGGATTCTAGGAACCCAAGTCTAGAAAGTAAATTCTAGAGAGAGAGAGAGAGAGAGAGAGAGAGAGAGAGCTAAGAACTATGCTCCAAAGAAATCGGATAATACTGCAAGTCTGGGAATGTGATAGTTGATGCAAGGGTGTTCCAAAGAAGAGATATTTGCTGCAATTTCTGATATATCTCCGTTTCACACACAGCCATAAATAGGCTTACAAACAAGATGGACCCACTGACAAAAGAACAAGTCACAGTAATTAAAAATATGCTCAAAGTGTATAAAAGACAAATAATTAAGGACTCCAAACCCACGTACAGTATACATTTCCTTGCATGCAACGGCCATTCGGGCCATATCATGTATCTACGTGGGTTCTTGTATTTGGGTTCTCAATACATTTGTGATCATGCAACATTCTTGCAAGAAGACAAGAGTTGTGATAATACATAACTACGAGCAGCAAAAACACATGAGAGTTTTTTTTACTTGAAGTTTGTTAGGCAAATTGAGATAGGACCGTAGATAAAATGGGTAAGAGTCCAAGAGACTAAAAAGTTCATTACCATTCATGTCTTCAAGGATGACACAGAGAATCCATGTGAGAAAGTATGTGATGGTGGATACGCAACGTGCGCATTCTCCAAATATTCAATCAGTTCTTTCATTTGAGATGGGAGCAGGTAAACCTCTTGAGCTTGCTTCTTTGTTACCCATTCTGTGTTCCTGCATGAATAGTGCTTTAACATTTTGAATTCAAGAAAAAATAAATACGGAGTAACATTATAAAATTTTTAGGAAGATGTCAGCCTGTTTAAGAAGGAAAATGAGATGAAATTCCAAAACCATTGTAAATTTAGTTTGTAGAGGGTGATGAGTTTAGATAGTTGTTAAGAGTCATGCTTCAGCTAATTTTGTTTTTAAAATGGTCAACATCATTAAGCATACACTTCAATTAAAAAAAGTATTTTGCTCTGTTACCGAATTAAGAAGCGATTTTTTATTCCTTTTAAAAGGTAAGAGTTTCTTCAATTGAGACACGTGTAATATCAGATTCAAACTTATAGTTGTCTCTTATCCCCCATAAAAATCAAGATTTAAACTAACCATTGAGGTTGAAATCTTTTTAGAATCTATCATATGAAACTATTTTTGTCCCGCTATTACACTATTTGGAAGTGGGGAGTGTAAGGTCTTAACAGACCCAAAACTATCTTATTATAAGGCACAAATGCACAAATGACCAATGACCAAATGACACAAACTACCTAGTTGATTTTCTGGGATCCTTAAAGATATTATATATGATACTCGAACTTTACCCTCTTTCATTATGCCTCATAAGCAAGTACTTTTAGAGAACAAACATGAACACTATTTATTCAAGGAAAACAATGAAAAGAAAACAATTAATGCTTCATAAGAAAAAACAATGCCTTGTAAAAAGTACAATTGACCTCTTCTAAGATGTGCTTTGCAATAAAGACGGGATGGAGAATATGATAGTTGAAAGACTAACCTAGGCTCAAGCTGCACGTCACTAATGTTGGGAGAAAATAAGACTTTGATTGCCGGGTACACATTAATCTTGGGAACTGGTTCTATGGCATGCAAACACAATCCAGCTTGGCTCCATGTATTTGGGTTCAAGAGAACAATTTGTAGGGAATGATATTTATTGTGCAGATCTCTAACCACAGTCCTAAATGAAAGCTCATCTTTTGCACTTCCCAGCAACTGACTAGTGAACACCCTCTCAAAAGTATAATTCCTGAATGTGGAACATATTTGTTAGTATATCCTGCTGTAAAAAAAAGTGTGAAAAAACAGGCACATCCAGATTAAGAAAGAAGCAACGGTAAGTAGCTTACCTAAATAAATCATGTGCTCCATTGGCAGGCAAAGACGTTGAAATGTAGAATTTATAGAGTCGAACTCCACCATCCAAAGGTACATTACTATTGTGGCTAGGATATGCTCCAAGAAGATGTGCACATTTAGGACAAAAAAACTCTATCCACTCAATATCTTTTGAAAGATTGGAGGGTCTTGCCATGAAAACATCTCCAAGATAACCATTCAGGAATATTTTCTGATTCACTGGGAGTTCAAAATCAACAGAGGACTCACACTGCCCCAAGAGATTCTCACATGAACCAATAGTGCAACAATTTACATAGTGGCTGTTTTTAAATCCCTGCACCCCCTCACAAAGATCTTCATGGTGGAGATTTTTCTGTAGATCATTCACATTGCCAGATTTGTCAGAATCGTATTTTTTTGTTGTGCTCCTACTAGGGAGTTTACCCTCCAAAATGTCTTCAACACTTATAATAACTGAAGTCTCACTTAATAAGCACAAGCCTGCTGCACACAAATAAGATCTTGCATAATTCAGTACCAACTTCTCACTTATACCCCCAAACGAGCAGCAACATGTGCCAAACCAATTGTCTGCAACATCTCTCCAATGCACAGATGGCATCTCTTTAAACGTTCTGCATAAAAGATATGGAGCAACAATATGAAGCCATTTGAAGTTACCAACTTCAACACACATACAATATAGATTAAAAACCATCTAAAAACAAACCCCTCAAAGAAACAATGTAACCCTTATCTACCTAATGCACCTATGTGGATCTTGTAAAAAATCAAATGAATAAAAGAAAAAGAAGGATTCTGCAAATCAAGACAAAAGAATAAGCTGCAATGGCTGCTACATCACATAGGATCTTGGAATGAAAGATTGTTCACCCTTGCCAGAACTACCTGTTTATAGTTTGACCATACAGTCAGTGGCATTTGTCTTTGACACCTCACAAAGCTGAACAATTGGCAGGACTACGTAGTTTGACAATAAAAGCTGCCAATGATTTCATTTGGATGGAGACATGGGACTGACTGTTTAAAGGCTTAAACTACACACCATTTGTGACCATTTTGTGGAGAAAACTGGCAAACAAAGAGTGTGTGCTGATTTGTCATTTCGTGTGTGCATGTGGAGAGAGAGATAGATAGAGAGAGAGAGAGAGAGAGAGAGAGAGAGGTCCTGCCTGATACCTCTGGTCAATTTTGTTGAGCAACTTCTGCAGTAAAAGTGCACTTCACCCGCAGTAGATAGTCGTTGTAGATCTAATGTTCAAAATGATTTTAGTACAGATATTGCAAATAAGAAAGCCAAACGAACTTGTTGTCTTGTAATAAAACCTAAATTTCTGATTGCATTAATTAAATCAGAAAGTTCCTTCATTAAACATAGAATCTTAATATGATGGAACTTTCACTCATGACTCATGAGATGTGTCCATAATGCACTGCACCTTTAATCCTGTATGGTAACATGTTGCAAAAACTCAAGAAGACAACCAAGACTTAGGACTAAGGAAAACTAAAAACATAATTATCCATGCTCCGCAATGTTCATGCAAGTAAAACAAAAAAATGAACTAGATATGCTCATTATCTTCAGACAAGAACATTCATTTTATGGTAGGATTGGGTGGGAAGGAAAAATGCATGCCAGAGGTTTCTGTTTTGTAACCCCTCAATAAGGTAAGCCTTTGAAATCTGTACTTATATCAACCAAAAAACCGCCAAGACTTTAGAAATGTATGAACGTTCACCACTGTGTAAAGAATAGTTGGAACATTGATCTGTACACGTTCATACAAGCTTAGGTCTTTTTGAAAATTCATGTTTTTTTTTTCAAAATAATGATAGCAAGTGATAATTAAAAAATAGCAACAGCAATAACAATGGGGAAAAAAGCCAATCCAGTAACGAGTAGCTCACCTAAACAAACAGATAGTGGATTAGCCCCATCTGATGCCAAAATTTCATTACCGCATTCATCTTTTTTAAGTGAATTCAGCACAGAGTCAAAATTGGAACCGAGTGGATGATCAACGGGAAGGAGAAGACCGAGCTTGACTTCAATGTGATCATCGAGAAGTCTAGAATGAACCGGAGACTCGAAGTCGACCAAAACCCTAGGAATGGGCACCCTGAGTGAGGTCTCGATCTGAGATTCAGCGTCATTTCCATTGAAGCTTACAGTGAGCAGATACTGTTCCAAGCTTGTGCCGACTCGCAGATGGGCGCAATCGGATGCGGGTTTGATGTGGGGGTTGAAGAGATATAATCTGATGGTTGGGATGTGAGATTGAGCTTCCCATGTGAACCTCCATTCTTTAGGGCTCTGAGACTTGGATGAACACATTGCTTTGATCGTTATCTGATTTGGCGGTAAGCTTAAAAGTGTGTTTTTGGGCTTCCCTTGGGGCTATGTTTTTTATGGGCCGTGATTCCCCCGCGAATATTTACGGACTAGCTTCTTAGAAAACCCTCTATTTGGCCTCCCTGAAAATTAGATCCAAGTCGGTTGGATTGTCAGGAAAACAATTTTCTTGTTTGGTTAGAGAAGAAAAAGAAAAGTTGAAGGGAAAGAAAAAAAAAGAAGACAAAATGTACTAAGAGGAAGAAAAACAAAACTCCTTCCATTTTGGTGAGAAAAATGAGGAAAACCCATTTTCTTTTCTTTTCCTACCAAATTCCTTGAATCAAACATAGTGTAAAGGATCACCCTTGGCACAACGACATCATTGAATTCCTCGCCATCATCGAAGCTCTCCTGAAAACACATGTCAACGACTTATTTGTTCATGTTCTTGCACAAACAACTAATTATCCATTGCAACACCCCCAAAATTTGTACTACCTCGTATTACTAATGCTTATATTCTTTACATTTTTTTTTATAATGAGGTACAACAATGATAACACAATGACGATTGGTGTGAGCATGTGTGTGCATACTATTGTTTACACTTTAAATACTCTCTTCGTCCTATATGTTATTCTACTTTTGACTTTGGTGGTTAACACTTTAAAACATTGACCACTATTTAGGAAAAATACATTTAATTATAATTTGAATTCAATATTAATAGATTGATTTAAAAAAGTATGTAGTTTGCAAATAAAATATTTACACAGATGAAGATTTTAGTGATTGAAGTATTGCATTGTAGACTAAAAGAACAAAGAAGAAAAAAAAGAGATATGACGGAGAGAGTATACTCTCTATGTTAAAAAAATTGGAAGTGATATGACTAAATTAAAGACCAATATATTCTTAACATTATCATACAAACAATAAAAGTCTTGATTTTCAGGGGGTCTCATTTGGCTACCAAGCAAACTCAACATCATACTTATAACCTCATAACTTGGATGCGATTTATCATGTGCAATGAATCTATGAAGAGCTTGATCATTCTCAACGAAGCTAAAACCAGGACACTTCCTCAACCCCATTCTCTCCATCCTTTGTCTCGTGCTTCCGGCTTCACCCCACCGTTGGTCGGTAGCATAAACATTCGCCCAGCCCACATACTTACCATCATGGTTCGGGTCCATCTCAACGAGCCTCCTCCCAACCATTTCCGCGAGCTCCAACTTCCCATGGTTCATACATCCACTCATTAGAGACCCCAACATGGAAGGTGTTGGCTCTATCGGCATTTGGCATAGCAAATGGTACACTTCCATTGTTTGACCGGCGCGGGCCATAACGTCCACCATACAAGCGAAGTGCTCAATCTTAGGAACCATGCCTTGTTCCTTGAGGCACTCAAAGAAGTGCCAAGCTTCGCTTACTAGCCCGCCGTGTGCACAAGCATGCAATAAGCTCAAATATGCTATCTCATCTGGCCTAATTCTATTGCTTGATTTCATTTCTTTGAACAAATCAAGTGATTCTTTGACCAATCCGTGCATCGCGAGCCCTTGAATCATGGCGTTCCAAATAAGTATGTCGGAGGTTTCAACCCGAACGCGACAAAACATGTCAAGTGCCTCATTGATTGCCCCACATTTGGTATACATGTCAATGAGGGAGGTGCGTAGGATGATTGTCAATGGCAAGTTGTTGTCGACCACATATTGGTGCAACGTTCTTCCTCGATCAAGCGCACCTAGGTGAGAACAAGCACACAACACACTCACCATGGTGACCTCGTTGGGCTTCACGCCGGAGACACACATTTGATCAAAAACAGCCATAGCACCTCGGTAATCCCCGTTCTTGACATACCCATCAATCAAACAGCTCCAGGACAAGACATCTCTCCGCGGCATTGAATCAAACAGCTGGCGTGCTGATCCCAGCTCCCCACATTTCGCATACCCATCCACCATGGAATTCCAAGAAACCGGATTCTTCAGAGGCATTCCGTCGAACACCTTCCGGGCAAGCACAATATCTCCAAATGAAGCATACATATGAACCAAAGAATTCGAAACAAACCCATCAACCTCGAACCCATTCCTCACAGTTTGCGCATGAACAGAGCAGCCCAATTCCGGGTTCAGAAGGCGAGAGCATGCCTTCGCAAGAAATGGGTACGTGAGATAGTCAGGAAACGCTCCAGATCTCAACATTCTGATGAAAACGGAGACGGACCCGTTGGGGTTTCTGCTCTTGGAGACTTGGAGTAACCCCTTATGACTGCGTTCCAGTGAAAGATTCTTGGGTTGACGAGGGAGAACAGGAAGCGGGGGGAGTAATTGAGGTCTCCGGAGTCAGAAACCGCAGAGAAAGAGAGGATTTTGGAGACGATATGGCTGTCTTGAGAGAGGCCGGAGGCGATTACGAGCCCATTGATCTACTTTAGATCTCGCATCGACTTGCAGTCGTCGAGGACGGTGCTCAGTGTGGAGCTCAAAATGGAATTCCGTCGGAGCAGAAGAGACCACGGAGATGATGCGTTCAGCATTCGGGACAATTTACAAGTTTACAAAGGCTTGTTTAATTCCTATCATTTTAAGATTTTTTAAGGAGTTCTTTGTTTCAGACTTTTAAAAGTTCATATGTTTGAATGGTTCATCACCTAATGGTTCAAACTATTTGTTTTAGTCTCTTAATGGTTCAGATGTCTGAATGGTTAAGAGATTTTCCTCTGAATGGTTAAGTATTATACAGAGTCTGAATGGTTAAGAACTCTTATCTGAATTGATCAGACATTTGTCTTTGAATAGTTAAGCAATATGCTAGCTCTTAATGGTTTAGACCTCTTACTGGTTCAGCACTTAATGGTTCAGACTTCTTACTAGTTCAGCACTTACCTATTCAAAAGTTGTCAAACAGCCTCTAAGTAATACTCCCTCCATCCCAAATTATTTGCCACATTTGCTTTTTCAACAATCGCGGGAACTTTTGTTTATTTTTACGTTTTCATTTGTTATTTGATAAAATAAGATATGTAATTTTTATTTTTTATTTCTTTACCAATATGTAAATAATTTGAGACGGAGGAAGTAACTCTTTATAAAGTATAGCTTTAAATGACTTACTATACCATCAACATAAAAATGGTCTGTATGATTCTTGATCTTTGATTGAATTAGAAAGATGGACTAACCCATGATCTTCTCTTTACTTAAGCTAGCGTATTGAACATAAAACTTCGTCATTGTCGATCACGAGTACGCAATTACATAAAATATTAAGAATTAGGCTCTGTTTAATTCCTTACCATTTCAAGTAATAACTTTTTAAAATTTTTATAGCAAACATATATAAAGAGTACACTTTCTGGTTCATGGTTAGTTATTTTCGTATTTGACTGCTCTAATATCAAGCAAAACGTTTTTCTCTCATTTAATATTCCACTGTTTTGATATTCCACCCCAATTTGAAACTAATTAGCATTCTTGTAAATCTGAAACTTAAAAAAACAAATTATTTTTTTGATTTTTTCAGTCTCATACCTGAAAATTTCTAAGGTTAATATACGTTAATTCGATCCGATTCCACTTTGGATGAATTTCCCTTAAGAATTGCATCAAGGTACTAAGCTATAGCTTTAGATAAATTGCTATCTACATAGAAATGGTCGTTATGCTTGCCAATAAAGTTGTTGTCTCTTCTACTTTAGCAACTTCATAACTGATTAAAGCAGGAAGATGGAGTTGTTTTCTTATGCTACATGTGACCTCCTTTTCAGTACATATACTCTTTACGGTTACTAACTCAACTCAAACATGCCTAATATGCTTTTCTTTTGCCAGAAAACTTCCTATTTCTCATCCTTTTGGCATGATCAATCATTAGTCAGAATAAATTTTAGGAATACCTTTTATCCTTAAGAGCATTGAATTTTAGGATTACTTTTTATCCTCATTTTGGTTCTTTTCACCCAGCAGATGCAAACCGCTTGTACTCACCATGTGTGACGAATTCACAACTGTCCAAGGCTTCGAACTTCGACAGATACTTGCAAGTGGGAGCTATCCACTCATATTCGCAAAAAGAGTCGCTGCCACATCCTTCCAAGGTAACTTAAATCTTTAATTCCTTATTTAATCCTGGACCTAAAATGATACATCTATCTGCTTTTATACATGCAGAGGTCTATCCTTGACAACGCGATACGACACATCCATAGAGATAAATCCCACGACCCCTCAGGCACTTACTCTAAGAGAATGATATGTATATCAACAATCATTATTTAATTTCCTTTCAAATAGACAATACAAATTCACACCATCTAACAACTATATTACATGAGCACATCAAACACGACATTAATCGAAAACCTTCTCCAGCAAGAGCACTACCACGACACACTTGCTCGATTTGTACTTCCAGATGGCTTTTCAAAGTCAACTACCTCTCACGTGAAATCATCATATGATAAGGTTACATACACATTCCAAATCGTTATTGGGAACCGCCAATAGTGGAACAGCTTTTAGAGGATCCAACCTTGGCACTCATAATACACAAACAATGGCCACAATTGACATTCCTAAAAAACTTCAAACATATCTGAAATCACCATTTATAACACCCAGTACTTTGATCTCTAACAGGAACAAATATTCTGGATTGAAGGGCAAATCAGAATCCTCGGAGATGGACCCGTACCATACTATATAGGATCTAATACTTGCAACAAAAAGGTCATCTTCACTGAAGGAATAACATTCAAATGCTTGCACTGTGGGAAGAAAAATGCAATCACAACAAAACTGTATACTCTTTTACCCCCTTCTCTTTCCAAATAAAAATTAGTGAAAAAAATTAAAACATATCAAGTTACTTACCAAAATTTAAACATAATAGGTACAAGTTAAATGTGGAAATAACTGACCACACTAGAGCATTGACTATGACAATATTCACACAAGAATTCCAAAAACTGTTGCGTCTTCTGCAAACAAACACACTTATTGAAAACATCACCTGCACCGATCTCAACAACCAACTTGCCCCAATGACAGCCATTACTGCAATCAAAATCATACCGCCAAACAACCAGGGAAGGAATGAAACAACATATGCAGTCTTATGCCTTTATAGTCCCACAACCAACGAAGCACCACCAACTTCTGACGTGACCACAGAAATCTCACAAACACAGACGAAGACGTGGGCGGTAAAGATGAGAAAAAACACCTAATACAACACTTCAAGCCTACTGCTGTAGAAATAACTACCTAATAGTCACACCCTTTTCCAAACCTCGAATGTTAACTGGTGTGAAGGAAGCAACAATGTTAACTGGTGTGAAGACAGCAACTATGTAAACTTTATGAAACAACTTATCTTTTGACTCCATCATGTAAATAGTATGCCCCTGTCTAATGACATGTACTCATGTATCTTTTAACTCCATCATGAAAACACTATGCTTATGTCAAATATAAAATAATATGTTAGTAACAGCAAAAGGATACCCACCGAGCAACCAATGCGCAAATGCGCATTCCAATGCTAGTTTACATATATGGCACAAATTGATTAGTGACTACTCGTAATTGTATAACATTTACTTAATGGCACAAACATCTCTATTCCAATTGGCACAAATCGATCACAAAGTCCAACCCAAACCTCTCTTGGCTCACTCACATGAATTAAACCACCAAAAAAACTGGATGAAGATCAATGGAAATGCATCAATGGGCCTCCTCGGAAATTGTACCAGAGTCGGTTGGATTATCAGGTACCACATCGAGATTTACTTATATAACACAAATCGATTAGAGACTCTACTCGTAATTGTAGTTAGCAAATTAAACATCTCTATTCCCATTGGCATTAATCGATCACAAGTCTAACCCAAACCTCTCTCGAGTCCATCATAAGAACTAAACCACCAAAAACGGGATCGAGATCTATGGCAATGCATCAATGGGCCTCCCTAAAAACTGTATCGGAGTTGGTTGGATTATAAGAGACCACATCATGACTTTTTGTGCTGCTAAAAATCTCACATCCCCTCCTTTCACACCCCCATGTAAAGAGAAGCATTGGCGATCAAAGAAGTTCTCAGTTGATTAAAGGATTGCCCTTGGCACAACGACATCATTGAATTCGACTAACCTAGCTATCATCGAAGCTCTCCAAAAAACGCATGTCAACGACTTATCTTTTCATGTTCTTGCACAAAGAGCTAGTTATCCATTGACATTTGTACTACCTCATAGTACTAATGCTTATATTCTTTGCATTTTCTTAATAAAAAAACTTAGAGAAAAAAGAATATTATTTCGATCCTTCAAAAGTTCAAACCGAATTTCATTAATGTCGAGAGAGAACGTTCTTTCCATTACACTCATGAGTACATATTGCAAATCCGTCCGGTTCCATGACCACTGGATTCTAGTGGCCACGGAACCGGGCTCATTGCAAATACATTAATTACAAGAATAACTTGAGAACCATAAATCAAAGGTTTATCCATTAACTCTCCCATGGATGCAATGGCACAGCAATGGAAGACAAAATTAAAACAAACAAAAAATAATACTCTTAATAAAAACATCACCCTTAATAGAAGGTGTTTACACAGTATGGAGCTTCAAGACGGTGGTAACAAAGGATTTCTCTCAACATCAGCTCCCTAATTACCACTTCCCCAATACTCTCATCAATATCAAGATGGAATTGATGGGCTGGTGGCACGTTACTTGTCGGGTCAATAAGACCGGACAAGTATGGGTGCTGGAGAGCTTCAGAGACTGTAATTCGCTTCGACGGATCGAAAACAAGCATCCGTCGCAACAAATCCAGCGCCAGGGGATCAGCGTCCGGGAACATGGAAGAGAAACAAATTCCCCTGGAAAACGGGAGCGACCGGATGAACTTTTTGGCCTTCGGGTTATGGATGAATTGAAGGTCAACTTCGGGTTGTGTCCCGAGAACCGCGATGATGAGTCTGAGCTGACTCAGACAGTCTGAGCCTTGAAAGAGCGGTTTTCTACCAAGAATCTCTGCAAATATACACCCGACCGACCAGACATCAATGGAGGTCCCATAGTTATCACACGACAGAAGCAACTCCGGCGCTCTGTACCAGCGAGTCACAACATATTCAGTCATGAACTGAGGTTCATTGTTGCCTCCCCGCGTAGTGGTTGTAGTTCTTGCCAACCCGAAATCGCAAATCTTCAAATCACAGTTGGCATTCACCAAAAGGTTTCCGGGCTTCAAGTCCCTGTGGAGAATGTTTGCTGAATGAAGATATTTCAATCCACGAAGTAGCTGATGAGAAAAACACTAACATTAGTCGACAACAACAACAACTCGGCAAAATCCCATAAAAGTAGCAAGTAGTATCTGAAAACGACGTCAAAAGTAGAGAGACTGTTTCCAAAAGATTTTAGATCGAGCAACACAAAGAATTCACAGCACAAAAACTATAATATCGCCCAAACCTAGACAATCGACTACCCAACTACTCTAGTTCTAGATATCTGGACGCTCGTGTTATCTAAGGTCATATCTTTGGCAGAAAGGCGAGAAGAAAGGAAAACAAACCTGGAAGAGGAAATACTTGGAATGGTCATTGGAGAGGGATTGAGAGGACTTGATGATGTGATGCAAATCAGTGTCCATTAACTCATAGACCAGATAAACATCCTTGAAGAAGCCTCCTGCTTGGAGAGGGGGAATCATCACATCCTTCAAACCGATCACATTCTCGTGCCGGACGTGCCGCAGAAGCCGCAATTCCCTCAGAGTCCTCAGCGCGTCCACTCGGTTCCCGAACACGTCGCAGATCTTCTTGATCGCCACCCTCTCGCCGGTTTCCCTGTTCACCGACGAGCACACGACGCCGTACGCCCCTCTCCCTATCCCCTTGATCGGAATGTACTTCCTGTCCACCTCGAACACCGTCTGCCAGATCCTGTAGTAGTGTTTCCCCGGCGCCCATACTCCGTTCGGCGGCTCCGCCGCCGTCGCCGTCTCCCCGCAGTTACTCCCCATCCCGATTCATCAATTGCTCCAAGAAATTGGGATGCGACAGAGCAAATTAAATAAATATAAAAACCCTCCGGGGAATTAATTCTTTATCTTTAGCGAGCACTTTTCTTTATCTTCAATCTTACCCGGCCAGCCACAAAGACTGCAGCTTTATCCAGTGAAAAGGATTCTCATCCCCGACGAAGTAAAGCCCGGACTTTTTTTTTTCTCCTTTTCTTTAACCTTCAAAGAACAAAATTTCTCACCCTGGGTATTTTATACTGGCAAAAATTCCAAAAGGTAAAGAAAGAAAGACAGAAAAGGGGGTTGAGAGAGAGAGAGAAAGAGGGAAGGAGAGATTAATAGAGTAATTTACTCTAAGAACACGACAAATGAGTGTGTTTTTCTTGCCGGCTTTGGAATATTTTGGTTGGATTGATGAATGGAACAGTAATGGGTTCAATTATAAGTCATTATTATTGCGTATTTTTTTTGGAAGGATTATTATTGCGTAAATTAATTTTTGCAATTGTCCCGTGGGATATCATTTGCTGTTCGGCTTGGCCTAATCACATTGTTATGTTAGTTGAGCAATAATCTCTAGGAGCATTAGAGTGTTTCTTTTAATCGGACGGTCAAAAAATATATAAACTTGGCATTGGGGTGTGTTTAAATTTTTTATTTCCTGTTTATTGTAATCATTTAAATATATTAATTTTATTTTTAAATTTCACACAAGTTTTCATATAAAATAAATTGAAAATAATTTCAATAAAAATCGTAACTTGAAGCGGACAATTTAAATTGGAACAAAGATATTAATAATATAAGTTTGTACGGAGTATATTTTGTGACTTTTGTGTTCATGGCTCTAACGCTATTTTTCTCGGTAATTCTTCTATGGTCTGATCCTAAGTTACACACTCATTTTATGGACCCCGTCATATAAAAGCCATGAATGAATTGACTCTATTTTATCTTCCTAGAAGTTATCTTTTCAATTACTCCCTTTGTCACAAAATATCTTTAAATTTGCCTTTTCTTAAATTAGATTTTATAAATTTTGCTCGTGACTTACGAAAAAATCGTATTTGGTTACAATGTAAAATTAATATAATTAAGTTTATTGTGAGACCTATATTTGATATGTCAAATATTTATAACATGTATTTATGTAAAAATATACTTCGTGCGTGGTTACTAATTATTGCATTGGTGGCGAGATCTTTTTAAAATGGGGAAAGCATTTGAGTCCATATGCCTATTAGCTCATAAGGCCATATGTTAGGCCTATTAGAACGCAACCAAAAACTGATTCGTGCGTGGTTACTAATTATTGAATATATGAATTATTTTAATTAGTTCGAATTAAAGAGAGAAAAAGGTGGCCATGGCGATACAAGATTGCATTAAGCGGTCAAAATTATTTCAATTTTTTATTTTAGATATTTTTATCTATTATTTAATAAAACGGTATAAATATGACCAATCTTCAGAAATTTTATCATAGGGTTTTCAAATATTTTTTTTAAAATTTTGCGTCAATATTTACATAAAATAAATTTAAAATAATATCAATTAAATATCATCCAAAACACCTACGGAGCACAATGCTATTGCCCTTTAGCCACGCTTTTCCATTTTATCTATACTATTCAGCATTTTTATTTAAAAATTTATATAAATATATTTTGAAAGCAAAACTTATATAAGTTTAATAAAACACGCAAAAACGTCACATTTTATTAAAATAAAAATACATATAATTGAAGTATAAATTACAAAAAGATAATATAATGCTAGAGTTGTCGAACAATTTCATTTTCGATATTCGCGTGTAATAGAGCCAACGACTCCTGATACATTGCCATAAGCATGTCCACAAATTAATGGCTTGGTCAGAGATCCATTTTTCCAGAGTAAAATGACAATGAGATGAGAGTGAATGTGGATAAATTTATGAAATTGAAAATAAAAAATTAAATTGGAATAAAATGAGCTGAGCTACCCAACGTCGCAACGAAGCGCTACGGTGGAATCCGCCGCTTGCCCCCATCTGGCCCGTGCCGCGGCCCCAGACACCACTTGTCTGCTGTGTTATCCCGCGGCTAGTCCCGCCTCTCCCAGCGGCACGGTGGGACTCTCTTTATCTCTCATATTGCAAATGTTCTTATAGGACACTTCGTACTGGACTATTCCATCCGTCATAAAAAAGACTCAATATTTTTATTCACATGTCAAACTAATTGTACTTCTTTTATACATTTCAATCGATCATTTAATAAGATACAATAACTTTGTCGCATTTTGTTTTGTAAAACTTTTCATGTTACTTTTTAATACTCCCTTCGTCCCTAAATATATCTCACATTTCTATTACCAAGGTAAAATATCAAGTTTTTTCAATTCATTTTATTTACATATTGGTAAAGAAATAAAAAATAAAAGTTACATATCAAAAAAAGTACATGAAAAGGTCTTCGAAATAAGAGGTGTCAAGAATATTTTATTTTATCAAATAACCAATGAAAACGTAGAAATAAACAAAAGCTTCCGAGACTGCTGAAAAAGCAAATACTCCCTCCGTCCCAATGTATTTGTCCATTTTGACTTTTTTGAGTCAAATTGGACAAACTTTGAGCTTCAATTAAATAAAAATTGTAATGTATTTTAACATAAACATGACTTTATTGGATATATCATATTGAGAACTTTCAAAATTGTATTTCATTATGCTAATATGGAATAGAAATTGAGAGTAATTGAAGTTCAAAGTTTGTTCAGTTTGACTCGAAAAAGTCAAAGTGAACAAATACAATGGGACGGAGGTAGTATGAGATATATTTAGGGACGGGGTGAGTATATAATTTTTATTTTCAAATTCTTACTTACATGAACTTAAAAAAAACGTCAGTCAAACATCGTAAACTGATAAAAGCCTTATTTTAGGAAAGATGAATATGAATTTTGGGAAGGTAAAACTGTAAAAGTGCAGTTTTTTTAAGGAAGTAAATGGGTAGCTTTAATGCGAGTAGGACTGTTAAAAAAAATTGCTTCGTCGGCAGTAAAAAAGCTTGGCAAAAGTGCATGTATTAGGAGGGAAGAAAAGGACATTTCCTAATAATGGGTTGCTATCACCGACGGCGCCTTAACAGAATGGCGAGCCCACGTGGAGGACCCGCAAAAGACGGCGGTAATCCACTTGACCATCCCACAAGCCAAAATTCTAACGAAATTCTTCCATTCCTCACTTCCTTTATCCCCCTTCATTTTTGTGCTAATTTTAATTATAAATTAAATAATTTCAAATAATTAAAAATTAATTTTTTTTTGATAAAAAGATTCATTAAATATTAATTATAAACTTACATTCCTCATTAAAATTATTAAAATTGATAACTTATTTTAAAAATATAAATAATAGTTTCAAATAATTAATTAAAAATTATAAACTTACATTAAAATTAAATATTACTCCTTATTTCTTTCATCCCAAAATAAATGCTCATGTTGCTATTATAAACTCTCAAGAACTCTCGTATTTAATATGTTTTCATTAATCATTTGATAAAAAAAATATTTTAGAAAACTCTTATTTTGTAAAACTATTTATGCACTTTTAAATGATTTAATTTATAATTCTTATTTCCATGTCAAATTTATAATTAAAATTATTTTAAAAATGAAGAGATTTTACATAATGTTTGGAGAATGGCATCCATTGTGAGACAGAGAGGGCATAAAAATTTACTTTATTTATTTTCTCACACTTTTTTGGACGAATGTAGTATTTTTTTAAATCCATATTAGCATTCGCTGCATGGATACACCACTTCTTCTATTTTTTGTACAATTAAAGTGCCGCCGGGCGTTGCGTAGTTGGCAAAGACAGGAAGTGTCAAAGGGTAGATCCAAGTTAGACACCTAGCTGAGAAACAATTATGTTAAGCACAAGACTTCTGCAAATACCAAGTGCAGGTTCCACTCACAATATACTACTCCCTCCGTCCCGTTTTAAATCGTTTGTTTTAACTTTTGCGCATATTTAAAGAAGAGAAAAAAAGAGTTGATTTTTCAAAATTGTCATTACTTTTTAGGGGGGTGACAATGAATAAGAAGATAAGGTGGAGAAGAGTGACTTATTTTAAATGTAGTTTAGATATTTTACTCTTAAAAGTTTACGATAACAAGTAACAAACAACTTGTTTTGGGACGAAGAAAAAAACAAACATACAATTTAAAATGGGACAGATGGAGTATGCATTAAATAACTTCTGATCCGTCTCCTTTAACAAGGAATGTCAATTTATACATGATATGAGGAGTCAAATTAGGAATCTCAATCCCAGATCTGAAATCCTTCACTTGCACGCTACTCAACACGTTTTCTATTACGGAGTACAATAAAATCTCTCTAAGCCTAGACACTTCTCCCAGGTCTAAGAGGGTGTTTGGGAATGATTAGCTTATGGATAAAGTGATTTCTACAAAAGCTGAAAGCAAAAGCACCTCATACCTGCTTCACCGAAACGGTGTTCCATGTACAAAATAATGTTGGTGAAAAGCAGAAACTGACATGCCAAACAGAGTAAAATCACCTCCACTCAAAACAGAAGCTAAATTGTTAAAAGCATCACACTGTCAAACACCCTCTAAATACACACACACTTTGTGTATGGATTATTATATTGTTTTATTGTAACCAAAGGCATGAGAAATTGAGTTGTGAGTATGCCAAGGAGTAGTACTACATAAAGAGTCAATAGCCATTAGTAATTTATACATCTATCCCGGAGTAGCAGGCTGCAGTGCTACAAAAAAAAAAGAGTTGTGAGTTTTCATCCAACACAATCCAAAAGGCTGCAGTGCTATTTTGTTTTAGTCCTAAGAACTAAAATTCCCAACACAGCAAATGAGAGAAATGTGTTGTACATAATACAGAGTAATTGGTTGAGTCATCTTGGGAAACAAACCAAGATACGCTTCAGTTCAAACGTGCGCTAGATGTCTAACAATATTGTTCACATTTCAATATGTTTGCCTGTTAAAATGAGCAAAGAAGCATGTTTCATAATGATACTACTTAAAGTACTTATCCCTTTATAAATTTCTTGACTTTCTTCTATTTGTAGAGAAAAAATCTAGCAAGAGTAGTTACCTTTTACTTATCACGTTTTGATTTGGAAATAAACACGTGTTCATTAACTACATTTTTTCAGATACCTCTTTGTTTTTAAATCAAATCTAATTTGGCATTCAACCATATCAGGTTCTTCAACCAAAATTTTCTCCATTGCCCTCTTTCTGTGTTGTGAGTTTAGTTTTCTTGTCTAAAATCAGAATTGCTCTGTAAGTCTTTACCTGTTTTATATCCGTAAAAATATCTTAAGACCTATAGAGGAATTAACTCTAGAAATACAGATTTTGTTCGAAAATACATATTAATAAATCAAGCTGTGATGAAAAACAAGGCAAAGAGAGAACGCCCAGCATGTTCAGAGAGTTCTATTCCAGTTACCAAACACTTTTAGTTGGTATAAAATCACAATAATGGACTAAAAACAATATTTTGAATACATTCTACAAAATAAAACTTAAATTGTTAATATCTTATATCATCCCATGTCATTAACCACAACGCATGAGTTCTTAAAAGAACCAAATGTTTTAATAAAAATCTTTGGAAAGCACTTGGGATGTAGATGGTCTTAGTCCAAAAATTAAAAATTCATTCTTGCATGGGACCCACAAGTAGACCCACTAAACTTCCTCAGCGCAACCCCGCAAACCAAAGGATGTCAAAAATCTCAGTCCAATAAAAAAAGTTTCTCCTTCGGCTCCGCAGAGGATATTTATCAACACCTTCAATACTTGGTGGATTTCCCTTGGGGGGAGAGCGTCGTGTACCGTCGAATCATCCTCAACGAGTCATATTCTGCATACTCCAACACGAAGCAATGTTCTAAGAAACGCATTTCTAGAAATTTCTCCACCACTTCCACAAAACCCTCATGTGGGTAATTAAATTTCTCTTTTGATCAAATCGGACAACCCATCAAGATACATGAGACAAAATCGTGCAATCAAGTGTGACTATCAACCATGACCTACCCAATTTGATTGAGGCGAAATTCAAGAAATGAGAAAAGTGTCATGTAAGCTTCAAAAATTCATATTCATAAACTTAAGAAAATGAGGTTATCCGCACATTGCCATGCATCCAACACACCATATAGTTCCACATATTTAGGTCATGGCTAATAGGCACGATTTTAATGGCACGATCTTGTCTATGGATCTTGATGGATTGTCTGATTTAATCGGAAAGACATTCATTACCCACACAAGAGCTACATGGAGGTGGTGGAGGAATTTCTAGAAACACCTTCTCTGGATTACTGCCTTGTGATGAGGTAAGTGCAGTACGACTCGCTAAAAATGATCCGAAACATGACCAGTACACGATGTACTCCTCCTGGATGGAGCCCATCAAGTATGAGACTGCGGATGAGCATTCTCTACAGAGCTAAAGGAAATGCTTTTTTCTTGCATTTGGATTTTGAAATTCTTTCGTCTGTGGGGTTGCGTTGACAATGTTTAGCGGGTCTACTTTAATCTTCTTTCTCGAGTCATAAGCCTTGGTTATGTCTAGTTTCATTAAACACCTAGAGAAGATGCCGACTCTTTTGTACCCTCAAGCTAATTCTCGACAAAGTAGTACATTATGTAAAAATTCTCTTTTCTCCAAAAAAAGCCACTTTTGTAATCTTAGTGCTATCAATCTGTTTGAGACTTTTCCCATATTCGAATTGAAGAAACTGAATAGAGCATCACTGACTAGATGTCTAACTGTTTGCCATTGATTTTTTTGAAGAAATCACTATTAAATCCATCAGGTCTTGGACTTTTACTATTAAGAATGTAAAACAAAATATCTTTAGCTTGCTTATGGCTAAAGGGAGCAATAAGACCTAATAGTTGTTCAATACTCAAAACATTCTGAAACTCAACAATGTTACCCAAGAGATCACCAGCCATTAATTTAGTTTCCCCTTCTATCCAAAATGGATAAAATCTGGTTCTGAATCTTCCTCTTATTAATCCAAGTATAAAATAGCTTTGTATCTTAATCCCCTTCAATTATTCAATCCAAGTATAAAATAGCTTTTTGTTATTATTATTGGGCCATTATTATAGCCTTATAGGGCGCAATGGCATCATTTGATCCATTGTTTGTCATATTACCACTTTTCTTTTCAAAAAATGATGAAGGGCAACCATCTCGTATTAGTGATATTACCACTTTTCCTTTCAAAAAATCAAGGACATTCAACCATTTGAACCATGAGAGCCTTACCAAACGGGCCCTAAAACAAGTACTACACAAAGATGCATAAAACAGACTTACAGTGTATATAAAATATTAATATATCCCTTACAGCTGCTGATGCAAAGCATGTCTTCACCAAATCAATAGCTTCAAACTCAGAAAGTGGAGTAACAGCAGCAGCATCCTGAGCAGACAAAGGAACCTTTGTTAGGCATCAAATACACTCCCTTGCTCCTAAAGTTAATATGGGATAAACAAAAAAGTAGGTTCCAGACCAGGGCAGGCAGCAAAACTGGGCTTGGAGACTTTACTAGGTTATCCAAGAAAGGCATAATTGGGTTGTTATGACTAAAATGTCAATTTTCTTATGTTCTTTGGCCAAGTTATATAAGCAGGGAGATTTTAGTCTCAGTACCAGCTATTCTCTTATTAATCTAAAGTAAACAAGAGGCATCCGCAAATTGATAGCTCAAAGTAGATAGAATAGATAAAGGGTCAAAATTACCCGCCATTGTTGTCGTAAGGACTCCAGATAGCTTGCTGCTTCATCATGGCGGAGTGATCAGATAGAGATCGATGGGGTTGCTAGGGCAGAAAGAACCGAGTTCAATTCGTCTTCGCCAGTCGGGTCATCTCGACCATATGGGCCTTCGGACTAGACACTACTACCCCATAATGTTTTGAGCGTGGTCATATATATGGCCCATCAAAGACCCTCTTTATGCATCAAATTTGATAAATATTGGAGTAATTTTCTAAAATGTCCCAAATTTAAAATAAATCAATCTGCAAATATTTATATCTTCTCCAACCGTTGGCCACCGTCTACCCACCATGCCAACCACCGATTGGCCTCGACTACCCCTACCACAGGTAAACTATTGGTGTCGGCCACTAATTATTTCTACCAATCAATTACATTGTACTCCGTAACATTCAAATCAACCTCTTACATTTTCATGTCAGATTTAAAGGAATGATACCTTTAAAATCTTACGACTCATATCACGTCTGATGGGAAATATTTATTGGTCCAGAGTTTTTTTATTTAAATTTCCATGTTAAAATAAAAATTGATCAAATCAAGTCCGTCGATCCCACTCAAAAAACTCAAGTTGAATAAGAGAATATTCTCTTAGTGATCTTCTTAGTCCACATGTAAATAGAGCTTATATCTCTCATTCAATATTGTTGGGAAATTGATTAATAATCAAACGAAAAGAAAGAAAAATAAGGAAGAGGACAAAGAAGATAAAAAAGAAGATATGGATGGTGCAGTGGATGCATCCATCATGCATGCATGTGAGAGGTTGTATACATGTGATGTTAAGGGCCCATTCACCATCTTCCTCTTGGATGGAATCACTCCGTATGTATATAACTTGGGTTTTTTAGAATAGCTTGTGTGTGGGTTTTAACACCACCAATGAAGAGAGAGAAGCATGGGAGGAATTCTACACAAGAATACCACCGGGAAAATCCAAGGGGTCTTAGTGAGTGTGGGTGAGTGTAGGGAGTAACTGGTTTTAGTTACTCGGAAAAATACATCCGGGCATAGGATGTGGAAAGATCTGTTTATGAGTGTCTGAAATTTAGTCTTGTAAACAGGGGAGAGTTTTTTTGTATATTGTCTTGAAATAGTGGAAATATGATTTTTTCTCTCATATATTCTTCTTGTGTTTGTTTTCTCATTTTTCTGGCGTTCTCAATATTTTTGGTATCTTACGCGCTTAAAACCCCAACAATTGGTATCAGAGCTTGGTTGCGCTGGGCAGGAGGGATTTGTAAGCGGTAAAAGGATAAATTCTGAGAACCCAGGGACTGGTCGATTTTGGCCAGAAAGCAACCATGGGACTTCAAGAACAAAGTGGATGGCATGAGGACCGGGTACGAAGCGGCATGTTGGCTTTGTGAAGTATGGTGCGGGAACAGGGCTTGAGGAGATCGGTGGTCTAGCGGAGTGAAAAATTGTGGTTTATGTCTTGAGTCGAAAGTCTTCCCAGCGAGAAGAGGTCGGGCGGTGTGTTCCGCAGGTGTTGTTGCGGCGGTGCAAGATGGGCGGATGGAAAGAAGCTAATTGCTAGATGGGTGGTCTCAAAGAGTGTAAAAAAAGGTGAGTTGTCATTTTGTTTAGCTCGGAGTGGAGGGTTAAAACTCTAAGGAGCTAAGGTTGTGGCGGTGATCTTGACGGGTTGGTTGAGATGGAGCCACGGGTACAGCGATAACTAGAAATGGTGAGGACCTTGTCGTATTGAGCAAGATGAGCCCACGACCATGAGTCAACACATGGTGGCGGAGAGCTTGCGGTATTGAGCAAGATAGGGCATGAAAATTTTTTCAAGGTGGTAGTGATCTTGGTGGTTGGACCAAGGTGGAGCCACGAGGATTTTTTTTCTTCTTTGAGGTTGGCAGCGGTGATCTCGATGGAGCAGATTGAGATGGCGCCAAGGATAATTTTTTTCGGAGTAGCGGTGATCTCACCGGAGAAGTGAGGTGGAGCTACAGTTTTTTTTTATTATTTAATCAAGGGGCCCATTTACCATCTTCCTCTTAGATGGAATCACTCCGTATGTATATAACTTTGGTTTTTTAGAATAGCTTGTGTGTGGGTTTTAACACCACCAATGTAGAGAGAGAAGCATGTGAGGAATTCTACACAAGAATACCACCGGGAAAATCCAAGGGGTCTTAGTGAGTGTGGGTAAGTGTAGGGAGTAACTGGTTTTAGTTACTCGGAAAAATACATCCGGGCATAGGATGTGGAAAGATCTGTTTATGAGTGTCTGAAATTTAGTCTTGTAAACAGAGGAGAGTTTTTTGTATATTGTCCTGAAATAGTGGAAATATAATTTTTTCTCTCATATATTCTTCTTGTGTTTGTTTTCTCATTTTTCTGGTGTTCTCAATATTTTTTGGTATCTTACGCGCTTAAAACCCCAACAAATATTCACATCCCACACATTTTCTTTCTATATGGTCTTATACTTTCATTTTTTGAACACTAATAATTATATTATAATATATTATCTATTTGATAGATCGAAACTCATTGGATATGTTTTTTTGTTGTAAAACACATACATGCAAAATATAGAAATATATATAAATATAGTAATACACACACACATACGAATACATACACAATATGTTTTTACATAGAAAGCGAAGCGGTGAAAACCACAAGTATTTTTAGGTTAAAATTACGAGCATTTTATGACAATATCATGCCAATAAGGGTATTTTGTAATATATTTAGAGGAACATAAATATATACAGGAGAGAGAGCTTGGGTCGGGTCCATTAATGATGAGCTCAAGCTTGTCAAATGATGAAGAAAAAGAAAGTATTACTCTCTTTGTCCTCAATTTGATTACAAATTAGTGTTTAGGAGAAAAAATATCTCATTTTTTGTAGAAAAGGGAGAGAGAAAAAAATTATGGGACAGACTCATATCACGTCTGATGAGAAATATTTTTTGCAAAATATCTCATATATCGCGTAATCAAACAAAAGTTATTAATAGAAGAGAAAAAAAATTATAATCAAACTGACATCATAGAATATTAGGTTTGTATGGGGAGGATATTGGGGTTGGGTGTAGTGGAGGGAGATGTTGAAGTACTTAAAAGAGCGAGGGCATACTATTAGGGTTTTGGTGGGAGTGGTATGAGTTGGGCCATAGGCCCAATATCAATTTAATGTCTAATTTTACTTCCAAAATACCTTTCCAAGGATTTAAATAATCCGGAGGCATGTGATAGGGTAATTTTCACCAATGGTACCTCAACTTTATCTTAAATTTCGAAGTGGTACCTAAACTTCAAATCCTTTTACAAAAATCCCTGAACTTACATAATCCTTTCACTAAAAGTCCATTCACTCGTTTCCAGGTTAACTTCCAATCATTTGGGCCAAATTAGAATTTTATATATTTTAAAATTTTCAATTTGACCCCAATTCTTTTTTTCTTTTCTTCCACTCCCACTCCTGCACACCGCCGCCGTCATCCTCTCCCCGCCCGTCAAAGTCGCCGGAAAGTCTACCTAATCAGATTCCGTCGGGACCAATGCTGTTCTCTTCGTCTTGGGATGAGGATCAAGAATATCCAAATCATTTTGTTCAATTTTGGCCTGTAACTCCTCGAATTTGAATTTTTTCACTCGAAAAAATCCTAAAATCTGAAATTGGAGGTTTTTGCAAATCGCCATCAAATCTTGCAATTGATGGGTCCTTGGAGTTTGCCGAGATGCCAGGAACACTTTGGAGGGATGCGCGACGTCAATTTTGCCAGAGGTGGCCGAAAAACCCTCCAACTCGCCAGAAAATTCCGCCTCCTGTAGGTGGGTTGGAGCGTTCCTGGTGACATAAAATTTTATGTGTTTGTTCCTGGCGGACGGTGTCGCCATTAGCTACCCATCGGGCCATTGTTCTTCAAAAAACGGATCAATATTCCTCACCACACTACCCGAAAATTCTCTACCATAATACCCACTATCAAAATCAAACAAGAAACATCAACCCTACCTTCTTTATCCATGTCCAACCCTACCTTAAAATTATCAAATCCCAAACTAGGGTTGTAAACGAACCGAATCGAATCGAATATTCATGAAAAATATTCATATTCGTTAAGATGGAGTGATATTCGAATTTGAATTTGAATTCGGTTCGAATATTTTTTAAGATTCGTATTCGGTTCGTTTAATATATTAAACATATTCGGTTCGTTTAAGTATTCAATTTGTTTAAATATATTTGGTTCGTTTAAAAATAATCAGTTTATTTAGATTTTGAAATATTTTATAACCATTTGATATATATATATATATATATATATATATATATATATATATATATATATATATATATATATAGGTTCTGGTGAGAATGCGATCTTAGGAGAGAAATGAGAATGAATCTGGTGCTTTAGATTTTGAGATCTAAGGGTCAGGATTGCATCAAAATTAGGTGCATCAAAATGGTTTGAAAATGCATCACGTTAAAATGCACCAAAATCTTTTGAAAATGCACTATCTCAAAATCTGAGCGCAGGATGCAATCTGAGCCGCACGATGCATCAAATCCAAAGGCTAGATTTTATTCTCATTTCTCTCCTAAGATCGCATTCTCACCAGAACCGGCCCCTATATATATATATATATATATATATATATATATATATACACACATACACACACACACACACCGGAGTATATAAAATTTGTATAATTAGATTTAGATTTCGAATATATTTGTTAAATTCACGAATCGAATACCCTTGATTCATATTCGTATTCGATAAGGATTCGAATATTTATTCAGATTCGTATTCGTATTTGGATTTGAAAAAATTGAATACGAATCACCTTAAATGAATACGAATCACGAATCGAACAAAATAATATTCGATTCATTTACAACCCTATCCCAAACCTCATAATTTCCGTCTTCAGCAAATCTGTATGCGAGATTGAGTAGCAGGAAAGTTACTTTTGTCTGTGTTTCTTCTAAAGTTCGAGAAAACAAAAAGCGATAAATAAGTAGAGAATGGTCCAAAAGGAGAAAAAGTAACTCCTCGCTCTCGATCCAATCGCCAACACTCTTCTTTGGAAAAAAACTCAACACATGCACTCTCAAGCTTGTTCGTCAT